GCTGACATCTCTGCTCTTCAATACTTTAAAAAGTTCCTGTGCAGCAGGTTTGCCCAATGCAGTACGTCGTCTGATCTCTTGACTGCTGCTTCCACGAATGTTGATAGTTGATCCAAGAAGAATGAAGTCCTTGACAACTTCAATCTTTTCTCCATTGATAAGAATGTTGTTTATTGGTCCAGTGGTGAGGCTTTTTGTTTTCTTGACATTGCAAGAAGCTGCTAAAATCCTTCTATTTCATCGTCACTGGCTTTAGTGGTTGTTTCATAATTTTGAATAATAGTGATATTATAGGCATATGGATGTTATTCTATCACAGACAGCATTGTAATTCTAGATCTTGAAATGGTTTTTTTGATGATGAATGCAACGCCATTCCTCATCAAATTGATGTTCCAGGCATATTGAACCATGATTGTTGGATTCAAAATGACCGGTACATTCCCATTTCAGCTCACCAATTACTAGGATATTGATATTTATGAGTTCCATTTCATTTTTGACATCTCCAATTTTCTTAGATTCATACTTCGTGCAATCCAGGTACTGATTATTAATAGACGTTGACAGCTGTTTCTTTTCATTTTGAGTTGTGCCCCATCAGCAAATGAAGGTCCCTAAAACTTTTTTCCATTCATGTTATTATAATCAATTCTATTTTGAGGTGGCAGCTTTTTCTCAGTCCCTTCCAACCTGAGGGGCTCATCTTCTGGCAGTATATTTGGCAATGTTTTGCTGGTATTCATATCATAATGTTTTCATCTTCTGGCACTATTATCTGGCAGTGTTCCTCTGCTATTCATAAGATTTACAGTGGATAACCATTCAGAAATGGTCTGCCACTACTTCTTCCTAGTCTGCTTTTAGTCTGGAAGCTTTTTTGAAACCTGTGTACCATGAGTGGTAATATCTGCTGGTATTTAAAATACTGGTGGTATAGCCTCCAGCATCACAGCAACATGTAAGCCACCACAGTGCAACAGAATGAGAGACAAGTATTTCTGTAAATTATCTTGTTCTGGACATTTCATATAAATAGACCATACAAAATATGGTGCTTTTATCTTTTACTTAGTATACTATTTTGGAGGTTCATCATGTTGTAGCATATATCATTATTTTAGTTTTTAAATTGTTGAATTAATATTATGGCTATATTTCATAATGTGTACCCACTTTTAATTTGATACATGTTGGGTTGCTTTCATTCCTTAACTACTGTGAGTAAATACACATTACTATTAGTAATGTTGCTATAAATATTTTTACACATTTTTAGAGAAAGGAGTCAGATATTTCATTTATTAAGAATGTTTCATGTGAGTAAATAGTCAATTCCAGTGTCAAATGGTTGCTTTTTTCTTTTTTTACAGCTTTTATTGTGAATTGAGTGATAGTGTACATGGGAGAACATTGGTTTTGCACTCATCGTATTGTGTTTCGTTTCAATGTAGTGGTTACAATCCTCTCCATGCATCATTCAACAGTATTTGCTTCTATTCCCTCTGGTTTTTCTTTTTTGATGTACACAAAAACACTCAGGGATATATAATCATTTAAATAACCAAAGAACACGTTCTGCAAGCCTGCCTCCTGGCCACCAGCACACAGCCTTTCTCTTTCCATGAGTCAAGAGTCCTCAGCTGCTCTATCTCTCCATGCCATCACGTCTGCCTTCATCTCTGGTGTCACGGCTTCTCATTAAGGGTCCCACATTCCGCTAATGCTCCTCTCCCTTGATGGTCCTAGGGTACTCTTTTCCTGGAGTGTTGAATTAACTAGCCTCCCCCCTCCATGTTACAAAACTTTTATCTTTACATTTGTAACAATCACAATTCATGCAGCACTTCTTTCTCTAATGCTAGTCAACTAGAGCTAGGTTAGTATTCTTAAGTTAAAGGACACTGCTCTTCAAACTGTCCAGTTTGCAGACACCAGCCACAAGTTTGGTAGCCCACACAACAGCCTCACTTCTGACCTGCAGACAGTGTCAGATTATGCAACAGGCATGCTTACTTAATAATTTGTTGTGGATAGTTTCACAATTTTTTTTTTTTTTACCACATCAAAGATTCTGCTTCTAGGTATGGCTGGCATATGTCTCTCCCAATCCCACAGCATTGTCCTATAGAATTAAAGTATTTTTTCAAATTTATAATCCCTGACAGATTAGTAAATAGACACAAGTAAGCCCACTGTTTACCTTGCTTACTGTGTAATAATACCCTTCCTTGCTGGCTACAAGTTTGGGGTTTTCCTGTGCTCGTTAAGGATGCCAATGCCAAGTTCTTGAGTCTCTCCTGGACTTCCTCACTTCTGACTTGCTGGCTCCCACTACTCCTTTGGTTTGAGAATTCACTGGAATGACTCACAGAACTCAGGGAAACCACTGCTGGAAGGGTTTCTAGCACTGAGCTTCCATGTTCCAAAAAAGGGACATGCTACCCTCTCATGAGGAGTCCCTGGTAGCACAGGTGGTTAAACACTTGACTAATAACTGAAAGCTCTTACGTAAGAAAGGCCTGGTGATCTGCTTCCTGTAAGTCACAGCTTTTAAAAACCCTTTGGAATATAGTTTGCTCTGCAACACATGGGGTGTATTGAATTAGAATCAACTCATCAGCAACTGGTTTGGTTTGAGTTTGTACCAGGAAGTTCATGGAACATCAGTGTCCAGAGCTGTTTTTGGTTGTCTTACTAGGTGTGGCATTGTATGATAAGCACTAGACTGCTAACTGTAAGCTTGGCAGTTCATATCTACCAGCTGTTCCTTGGAAACTCTATACAGTGTTGCTATGAGTCAGAACTGACTTGACAGCACTTAACAAGAACAACAATTATGTCATGCAAATCCCAGTCCCTCTTGAGGTTACTTATTTCATGAGTTGGTCATGAGGTGTAATGTGATGGGTCTTGCCAGGCCCCACTAAGTCACCTCATCACCTTACCTAACTTATTAGCTATGGTCTGGAGTTCTTATTGAGGACATTTAGATTCCCAAAGTTTTTCAGGAATCATGGGCAAATACCACATGTATGGGGTAAAGTTTAATGTAAACTCCACAGCTTTTTATATATATATATAATACATTTGTGTCTTTTTGTTTGCAGGAGACAGCATTTAATGAAAAATCCATGTGTAAGGGATAAAAATGGCAGGCTTCCTTGATAATTTCCGTTGGCCAGAATGTGAATGTATTGACTGGAGTGAGAGAAGAAATGCAGTGGCTTCTGTGGTAGCAGGCATATTGGTAAGTAAAAAAAAAAAACTGGGCAGGTGAGATTTATGCCTTGTTTTGCCTTGGACATTATTGATTGCTTTGACCCTTTCAAAACAATTTATTTATTTTTTGTTTTATGCAGGTAATTATCAGAATTTTAGATATTATTAACAGTACATGATAGCCCTTGGCTCATTTGACTTTGTAACTTTGTTAAGCTTTAATATCTTTTAGGTCTCAGTGATAATATAATTATTATGAGCAGTAGTGTATTTTATAGTATGTATAAATACTTTAGGAGCTCTGGTAGCGTAATGGTTATGAATTTGGCTGCGAACCACAAAGTCAGCTGTTCGAAACTACCAGCAGTTCCACAGGAGAAAGATGAGGCTTTCTGCTCCAGTAAAGATTTACAGCCTCAGAAACCCTATGTAGGGTCACTATGGGTCGGAATTGACTCGACAGCACTTAACAACAACAACAACAAAAGTACTCTAAGATCCTCAAAGTTTCAGAATTTGAAGTAATCAAAATTATTGTGTGGTTCATCTCAAAATATGTTATTGTTGTTAAGTGCAGTCAAGTTGGTTCTAACTCATAGCAACCCTGTATAGAGTTTCCATGGAGTGGCTGGTAGGTTTGAACTGCCAACCTTGCAGTTAGTCTAGTGCATTATCTAAAGTAGTAGAAACCTTAAAATCAAGAAGCTGTGCAGCACTTGTAAGAAAGGGGCACCAGCTCCATTTCCAAAACTGCAGCACTGGTGGGGAAGTAAGTAGAACAACATTGTGGAGGAAACTGTTGCATCATTTTCTCCCCATTGGTAGTTTTTTTAAACATTTTTTTTTATTATTGAAACTGTCAAGCATATAAACAAAAGTAGATAGAGTGGTATAAGAATTCCCCCTCTCTCTCTTACCTTTGTATCCAGCTTAAGAAAATATCAACTTCTGACCAATTTTGGCTCTTTATTAACCACTTCATGACCTTACTGTGTTATTTGAAGCAAATTTAAATGTTTTCTTATTGTTTTTAAAGAAATTACATATAAAGCATATAATTTACCATCGTAGCCACTTTCATGTACGGTTCGGTGACATTGATTACCTTCACAAAGTTGTGCAACCATCACCACTGGAATGCTTCTTTAGTTCAATTCTACACCTGAAGTCCAATGTGGACGAAGAAAATAGAGCAGGAACTAAAGATGACTATGAAGCAATCTGTATGCAGAATTCTTTTACATGCTGATACTTTTTCTTGCTCATTATGGTTATCTTGTCTACACTAAAGAGTGCCAAATTCTTCAGCAACTTGTCTATCTTGTGTACTCAATTTACATACAAAATTACCCACCACCCCCACCACCGAAACCCCAAGCCAATTGCCATAGAGTAAATTCTGATTAGTAGCGACCCAATACAGAGACAGGCTTTTGAGACTGTAAATCTTTATGGGAGTAGATAGCTTCTTCTTCCATGGAGTAACTGGTAGGTTTGAACTGCCAACATTGTATTTAGTGATCCATTGCTTATTCTTCATCACAACAGGACTCTTTTCAGTTCAGAAACATTAATTTTGCAAACTACTATTGAGTCAGCTATATAATGATTGATTAAGTTGCATAATTAATAAAAACTGTAGCAGGTTTGTCCTAGTGTGGTGCTTTGGGTTAATGCGCTGGACTGCAAGGTCAATTTGAACCGCAAGGGCGGCAATTCAAGCTCACCAGCCGCTCCTCGGAAACCCTATACAGGGTCTCTATGAGTTGGAATCGACTTGAAGGCACTTAGCAACAACAACAATAACAGGTTTGTAGTTTTGAATATATACAGTTGATTAATAGTAAGCATACAATTCATGTGTCAAAGCAAAAATGCTTGAGCATATTAAAGGGAAACCTACTAGTCATCTGCACTTGACTTGGCATGGGCCCAATCAGAATGTCTTCTAGAGAGACTGAAATATGTCAGTTAATCAGGGAGTTGGCAAAGTGGAGTTAATTAAAGAGAACAGCTTCCAGTGTGTTTGTTGTTGAGTGCCATCGAGTTGGTTCCAACTCATAGTGACCCTGTATAGGGTTTCTGAGGAGTGGCTGGTGAGCTTGAATTACCAACCTTGGGATTCAAACTGAGTTTGCAGTCCCATGTGTTAACGCCCAGTACCACACCAAATATTTATATAAAGTTGACAACTGGACTTCAGAATCTTGCAGATTTAATTAACCATTGTAAAGTATATAGGAGATTCTTATTTTTATATCTCAGCATCCAAAACTCAAAGTAGAAATATTTTATTTCGCTTATATGATAGGAAAAAAATGGGTAAAAGATCTTGTAAGCCTTCTTTTTTTTTTAAGTGTTTATTGTGTTAGTTTACATGGGTTAACATTATCTTTACATTTATCCTATCATATTTTGATTCATCGCAATCATCACAATCCCCTGCATGCCTCATCAAACAATCAAAGGGTATACCCCACACGCCTGCCTCCCTGGCTGCCAGCACGCAGACCCCCTCCATCCCTAGGGGACAGGGTCTCGCACTTCGCTTTTCTCCCTTGATGGTTCCAAGGATCTCTGCTCCTGTACTGCAAAATCAGCCACTCCCCTCCTTTTGTTACCTTACATTCACCTTTCCAACACTCACTGTCAGACCTGATATCAATCATTCCCCATTGAACCACAGGAGCCCTATTCCCCTCACCTTTTATCAACCCCATCCAGACAGGTTGGAAACAATTCAGTGGAGAATCTACCTTTCCCTGTATGCTGTGGAGCTAGGTTCCTTATTGAAAGCTTGTAAGCCAGTCACTTCTTGCCTATGTGCTCCCTCCATTTTGGGTAGCCAATGTCTTAAGTTCCCCATCCCTGTGTACCCTGTGTACCAAGGAGGTGGTAATGATCCTTACTGTAATGATTTGTCTGCTCCTTTGTCATACTGCATCCACAAGCATAGGTCAAGTTCATCCACTTGTAGTTGTTGTTGTTAGGTGCCATTGAGTTGGTGCCGACTCATAGCAACCTCTTATGCACAGCAGAACGAAACACTGCCCAATGCTGGGCCAATCTCACAACTGTTGCCACACTTGAGTTCATCGATACTGTCACTTGGCCAGTCCATCTCGTTGGGGGTCTTCCTCTTTTTCTCTGACCCTCCACCTTACCAAACATGATAGCCTTCTCCAGCGACTGGTCCCTCCTGACAATATGTCCAAAGTTTGAGAGACGAAGTTTGGCTATCTTGGCCTCCAAGGAGCACTCTGGCTGCACTTCTTCCAAAACGGATCTATTGGTTCTTTTGGCAGCCCATGGCACTTTCACTATTCTCTTCCAATACCGTAACTGAAAAGCATCAATTCTTCTACTGTCTTCTTATTCAGTGTCCAGCTTTCGCATGCATATGAGGTTATTGAAAATATGGCTTGGGTCAGGCTCACCTTAGTCCTCAAGCTGACATCTTTGCTCTTTAACACTTTAAAAAGGTGTTGTGCAGCAAATTTGCCTAATGCAATATGTCATTTGATTTCTTGTCTGCTGCTTCCATGTGTGTTGATAGTTGATCCAAGAAGAATGAAGTCTTTGACAACTTCAGTCTTTTCTCCATTGATAAGAATGTTGTTTATTGGTCCAGTGGTGAGGATTTTTGTTTTCTTTGCATTGAGATGTAATCCATACTGAAGGCTGTGCTCTTTGATGATCTTCGTCAGTAAATGTTTTAAGTTCTCTTCACTTTCAGTAAGCAAAGAGTAATCACTTGTAGTAGATTACTCTCTTTTTTTGCCTTCTTTCTTCCTCTAGTCGTGTTCTGATCATCCAGCCATGGATACTAGGTCAAATGGGTACTATCTGCAAGTGTGGGTTTTCTTGTGCATCTCCCCTCACTTCATATCAGCTGGATGCTTCATACTCCATTCTCATCCTCTGGGGCCATGTCCTTGCCCCTGGGCACAGGAGTCCCTAGGTCTCGTCAATCCAGTTTAACAGGAGTCTATTGAATGTGGTCAGACTTAGTTCACAACTTCATTGCTGTTTTTCCCCCCATCCCCTTATCGGTGACCAGCGTGGTCAGCAACAGGACCCTATGCCTGCTAGTGTATTCCATTTGAGTTTCAGTCTTGAAAGGGAGTTTGCCTTGAGGGGACCTGACCACTTGCCTTGATGGGGAACAACTTGCTTGTTCTTGTAGTAGTCAGTTGGACTTCTGTTATTGTTTTTTGATTTTTCCTGATGGTCTTTTTGCAAGAAATGTCTTTTGTCCTTCTAGCTGTTCCAGACTGGTCTGCTTGCCCTTTCAAGTGGAAATGTCCCACTTCAGAAGATTCTGGATGGGGATCAGGATTCCACCTATGGTGGAAAGCAAAGGCTTTGCAGGGAGCCTCCTTCACTGGGCAAGTTCTAGCCCCATTTTAGGTATTCCAATCAGTTATAGGCTTAAGATGGGCTTACAAACTTTCTCTGATGATGTTTCTGGCTATTCCTCTCTCTCCCCTTCAAGTGTCTATTTTACAATAGTAGGCAAGGGAAACCAAGATTCAAAAGGCAGCCAGGCATCTTAACATCCTTTCCCCACTTTAACCCATCCAAGCCATGTCTTTGTATCCCTGAGTCCTGTTGTTCCATGGTTGTGCTTACATTGTTACTTACTCTGTCCTATTTAGCCCATGTAAACCTGCCTACCTATTCTCGCTTCCGCCTTGTTTTTCCTTTCCCCTTTCCCCTTCTAGTGTATACCGCCTCCCCCGGCCCCAGCACCCAAACGATCCTGTGTCTATTCCTACCCTGTGCTCCACTATCCTGTGCCTATTCCCTACCCTGTGCTCCACCTTCCCCTCCATCCCCTCACCCCATCCCATACACCCCAGTAACCAACTGAAAAATAAAAATAAATAAAAGATAAAAATTTCCCCCCTTTTAGTGTGGGTGCTTTTTCTTAATGTTTTACAATAATGGTCCTATGCAGTATTCTTCCTTTTGTGACTGACGGATTTCACTCAGCATAATGTCCTCAATGTTTTCCATGTTATGCAGTGGCTTGCTGTTTCCTTGTTGTTCTTCAGGGTAGCATAATATTCCATTTTCTGTATGTACCAAAGTTTGCTTATCCATTCTTCCACTGATGGGCACTTAGGCTGTCTCCATCGTTTTGCTATTGTAAATAGTGCTGCTATGAACGTTGGTGTGCATATATCTACTTATATTATGGCTCGTATTTCTTGTGGATAAATACCAAGTAGAGGAATTTCTGGGTCATAAGTATCACTATTTCCAACCTTCTGAGGAAGCGCCATATTTTTTTCCATGGTGTAAGCATTCTTAATGACTTGGACTATCTCGCAAGTTTTTTACAGGTTGGTGGATAATGATTGATGCAGCTGTAGTGTATCCTAAGCCAGAGCAGTTGAACCATGCCTTTCACACATGTGGTGTATTTTCCACATTGGCTTTCTTCATGTAAGTATGAAGGTAATTCATAGATTATTTTTCTAAAAAAAATGTTACCATAAAGTTCAGTGCTATCTCAGATAACTTTTAAATGTAAGTTTTTCTTTAAGATCATAAATATATCCAATTTTATTAAGACTTTTTATTAAGAATGAGTGTTGAATGTAGTCGTCTTTTAAGCATCTGTACATTATAGATTATCGTATTATTTTCCTTTTTATACATATTAATATAATTAATTGGAGTCCTGGTGTGGCACTGTAGGATAAAGCACTGGACCATAAGGTTGGCGGTTCAGACTCACCAGCCACTCCTTGGAAACCCTTTCAAGGGTTGCAATGAGTCAGCCGACTGGATGGTACTTAACAACAAGAATAGTATAATGAATTACCATATTTTTTCCATTTTAAGATAGACTTAAAAATTTTAACATCTGAATAGTGGTATCTTACAATTGTAATTGTTATTAATTATAACAGTTATAAATGTATGATCATATGTTTATAAATAGTTATAAAAAATAGTATTTCTGGTCCATATAAAAGATAATGTTGTTGTTTTTAATGTGTTGCTTGGCTATGTGTGCTAATATATGGCAGCAGAGAGGATTGGCCTTAGTATTCACAAATGAGATTGGTCTGTGACTTTTCTGTTTCACTAAATCATTTTCAAGTTTTATCAGTCATTTCACTTCATGAAAGTTTGGAAGATTTTCATTGATGTCTTTTAACAATTGAAGTATGTTAAGCATTGTTGTTATATGCCATCGAGTTGGTTCTACCCATAGCGACCCTGGATAGTGTTTCCAAGAAGCTTGAACCACTGACTTTGCAGTTCAAACTGACTTTACAGTCCAGTTGAATTAACCCACAGCACCACACCAGGACTCCATGTTAAGCATTAAGATTATATAATTTTCTTATATTGTTAAGAATTCACAAAAAAATTGTAATATGGAAAATTCTTGTTGTTAAGTGTCATCGAGTTGGTTCTGACCCATAGCAACCCTTTATAGGGTTTCCAAGGAGCGACTGGTGCGCTTGAACCACTGACCTTGCTACTCAAACCAACTTTGCAGTACTGCACATTAACCCACAGTGCCACACCAGAACTCCAGTATGGAAAATAAAACTATATATATCCTGCTGAGAAAAGGCAATTCCTACTGCTAATTCATGAGCCATGTTCTAACATATATGAAAAGAGAAGCTGAATAAACCAGACCTATTATAAATACGTAGATCAGATTTTCTCTGAGTTTAAGAAATAGATTAGAGAAAATTATTGACTTTTAACACAAAGGGCAATGGTTAACTCTTGATTATAACAAGAACTGTAAAACTACCACTGACTTTTCCTGTGTAAATGTAAAATAAGCAAAGAGATCATAAAATTGGCCTTTTAAAAAATAATTTCTGGGAACAGATTATTGATATCTTAAAATAAGTATGGTTTTTTTTTTGAAAATTAGGTAAATGTGACATTTTTTGCCACTAAGATATTTGTTAGGTAAAAGATTATGTTCATTTATTCAGATAGTAACTTTATTAGGAAATAATCTGTTTTCTTTTCTAAGTGATATGTAAATACCTATACATTTTGACCATATGAAAGCTCATTGGATGATTTTGCTTTGTTTTAGGATAAATGCTGTGTCAAATGCTCAAGTGAGAGGTGACAGCTATGAAAGTGGCTGTTTAGGAAGAACAGGTAAAGCCCTTTGAGGTGTTACCATATACTGGCAAATAGGAGTTTATTAGTAGAAGGGGAAGGAAGCCTCTGTATTAGTTGCTATTCAGGTTTTGTAATGAGTATATATAATTTTACCGAATTAGTAAAGATAATTTAGTGTTATTTAAATTCTTTACTACTATAAAGTTAAATAGACTACCAGAAGTTAACTATTTTTGTGATGTTTTACTATCTATATCATGTAGATGTTGTTAACTGATGTCAGGTTGGCTCGATTCATAATGAGTGCTCCCCTGCACACAACAGGGTTAGATGTGATCCCTAGAGGTTTCGTTGGCATATTTGTTGCAGAAGTAGAGTGCCAGGCCTTTCCTCTTACTTAGTCTTAGTCTGGCATCTCTCCTGAAATCTGTTCAACATCATAGCAACAATACCCAGGGCTCCACAGACGTGGATCGGTGATAGCTGCACATGAGGTGCACAGGCCAGGAATCAAACCCACATAGGAAAAGAGAAGTCTACGACTGAACTGCCACTACCCCTCTATCATATAGATGTTGTTGTTATTAGGTGCCATTCAGTCAGTTATGACTCATAGCGACCCATTGCACAACAGAGCAAAAGACTGATCAGTCCTGCTCCAGTCTCACAATTACTATGTTTGAGCCATCGGTGCTGCCACTGTGTCAGCCCGCTTTTTCACTGATCCTCTAATATAGCAAGCATGATGTTCTTTTTCAGGGACTGATGCCTCTTGAGGACATTTCCAAACTATGTGAGATTAAGTCTTAACATAATCCCTTCTATGTGGCACTCCGGCTGTACTTCTTCCAACACAGATTTGTTTGTTCTTTTGACAGTTCATGGTACTTTCAGTAGTCTTCACTAATACCATAATTCAAATGTATTGACACTTCTATGGTTTTTTTATTCATTGTTCACCTTTCACATGTATAAGAGGCAATTGAAAATACTATGGTTTGGGTCAATACACCTTAGTACTTCGTCCTCAAAGTGAAGTCTTTGCTTTTTAACACTTTGTTGTTTTTGTTGTTGGTAAGTACCAAGTCAGTTCCAACTCCTAACAATCCTGTATCGGGTGTCCAAAGAACAGCTGGTGGGTTTGAACCTCTGACCTTCTGTTAGCGTTCCAGTGCTTCTCTAACAGCACGACACCAAGGCCCCATTTAACACTTTAGAAGGATCTTTTGCAGCAGATTTGACCAATGCAGTACATTGCTGGATTTCTTTAAGTATTGTTTGTGGATCGATGTAACATGAAATCCTTGACAACTAAAATGTTTTCTCCTTGTATCATGGTATTGTTTATTGGGCCAGTTGTGAGGATTTTTGTTTTTTTTATGTTGAATTGTAATCCATACTGAAGACTATAATCTTTGATTTTCTAAGAAAGTACTTCAAGTCCTTTTAACTTTCAGCAAAGCAAGATTGTGTTATCTATATATCACAGCTTGTTTATGAACCTTCCTCTAATCCTGATGCCATGGTCTTCTTTTTATAGTCCAGCATCCCAGATTATTTGCTCAGGATACAGATTAAATTAGTGAGTGAATGACTGACTTATGATCTATGTGTAGTTTCCTTATGAGAACAATGAAGTGTTCTGGAATTCCCATTCTTTGCAATGTTATCCATAGTTTGGTATGATCAACACAATCTGTTACCTTTGCATATTAAATAAAGCACAAGTAAGGATCCTTCTGGTGTTCTCTGCTTCTAGCCAAGATCCATTTGATGTCAGCAGTGGTATCCCTTGTTCCATGTCCTCTTCTGAATCTAGATTGAATATCTGGCAGCTCCCTGTTGATATGCTACTACAACCATACCATTTTAAAATTATCTTCAGAATTTTACTCATATGTGATATTAATGATATTCTATATTTTCCGCATTCATGTGGGTCACTTTTCTATGGAATGAGCCTTCCATGCTGCTTGAACTTCTTCCTTCAATACCATCAGTTCTTGATCATATACTATTTCCTGAAATGGTTGAACATCAACCAATTCTTTTTGGTATTAGGGGCTCTCTGCATCTTCTTTTATGATGTATCTTGCATCATTCAGTATATTGCCCATAGAATCCTTCAGTATAACAAGTTAAATCCTAAATTTTTTTTCTAGCTCTTTCAGTTTAAGAAATGCCAAGTGTGTTTCTCCCCTTTTGGTTCTCTAACTCCAGGTCTATGTACATTTCATTATAATACTTTGTCTTAAAGAATTGTCCTTTGAAATTTTGTGTTCAACTTTTTTACTTTATCATTTTTTCCATTCACTTTAGTTACTTACGTTCAAGAGCAAGTTTCAGAGTCTCTTCTGATACCCACTTTGATCTTTTCTTTCTTGTGTTTTTACTGACCCTTTGCTTTCTTCATGTATGATGTTCTTGGTGTCATCTCATAACTCCTCTGGTCTTCAGTCGTTAGTGTCTAATGCATCAAATCTGTTTTCCAAATTCAGGTAGGATATATACTCAAGGTCATATTTTGGTATTGTGGACTTGTTTTAATTTTCTTCAGCTTCAGCCTAAACTTAAATATGAGCAGTTGATAGGTCTGTTCCACAGTTAACTCCTGGGCTTATTTTAGCTGTTGATAACTGAACTTCTCCATCATCTCTTCCTATAGATGTGGTCATTTTGATTCCTGTGTATTCTATCCTGTGAGTTCCACATGTATAGTCAGTCACTGTTTATATTGTTGAAAAACTAAATGTTTTTCAGTTGAGTTTTTGATCAATTTCCGTTGAAATTGTTGATTTTCCCAATGCTATTACAGAATTTCTAGTGTCATTTCTGTCACCAAGGCCATTTGATTATAGGATTCAGATTGGCCAACACCAATCCATTTTAGCTGACTAATGCCTAGGATATTGATCTTTATTTGTCCTATTTCATTTTTTGATGACTTCTGATTTTTCTAGATTAATATTTTATACATTCCTCAGTCTGATTATTAATGGATATTTACAATAATTTCTTCTCATTTTAAGTTGTGCCCATTAGCAAATGGAGGTCCTGAAAACTTTGTTCCTTCTACATCATTAATAAATAAAGTAATGGACACATTAGGAGATCAAACCTAGAACTACAGTAATTTTCACGTTTAATTCTAATCTCTTGTGTAACCACTCACAGAACTGCTACAAAATTATCTAGAAGAAACCTGCTGCTTGTCTGTATAGAAATTATTTTTCTCTTGAAATTCATCCAATAGCATTTTTCTTTTATTAAGATTATAACAAATTCTATTATAAGCCAGGACTATGTCGCACACTGTAGGATCAGTACTGGACTGTGAACCACAAGGTCAGCAGATTAAACCCACCAGCTGCTTCTTAGAAACCCTACAGAGTTGCTATGAGTCGGAACTGACTCAACAGCACTTAACAGCAACAACATTATAATCCAAGGGCTTGTTTTCAGTAGAATTTCAGTGCCCTAATGAAAATGTATAAGAGTCTTGGTATGGCTTTATAGGATAAGTGCTGGGCTAACCACAAGGTCAGGGGTTCAAACCTACCAGCCACTCCTTGGAACCCCTATACAGGGTTGCTATGAGTCGGAACTGACTCAAAGGCACTTAACAACAACAAAAGAAAAAGCATAGAACTAGAACTCTTATTTCAGACCTTTAAGTAATAGGGAGGGTGGTTTGTGGTTATGATTGGAATTGGGTAGTGTAACAATCTTGAAGGGTGAATAAGAAATAATAAAATAGTTGATGGGTGCGGGGAGCGCTTAAACTCCCGTTGTTTGGCACGGTCCCAGTGGGGGTAGAGACATTATGCACAGCAAATGACTCTCAAAAGCTGGTCCCTATCTTCCCTTCAAGTTAACTCTGAATTTACTTGTAAAAATATATAATATGGCAATATTCACAGCCTTTCACTATGAATTTTACAAACCTTAAGAAAAACTGGCTTAGCAACAATTGCTTTCAGCTTTGGTGAATTGAATACAAAGAAAATTGTGTAAATTACGCCCTTTCATAGAAAACCTAAGTAACTGCATTTGTGAGACCACAAAAGCAGATACCAAATTAGAGTCAAGCTGACCTACCCCCATAGACCTCATCACAATCAGTCACTAGCTAGAATTCGCAAACCCCTACATACAAGTACCTGCGTAAACAAGCAGAAAATAAAGAACTCTTAAGTGAAGGATAGTTTTGACTTGATAATTTACATTTCCTGCAGCAATTAACCAAGCTGGGCTTTATGCCACATAGCTTCCAAGCAATTTAATGAATACTTTAGAAAAATAAACAAGTAGATGTTAGTAATACTTTTATTATGAGAATAATAGTACATTATGCAGGATAAAAAGTTGATAATTAGTTAATCTTTTAGTAGTAGCAAGAAGAAACAGTTTATCACATACTGAGAAAGGAGATGAAGATCAATTTGAACATTGCAGAAATATTTTTGTCAAGGTTGACCAGGTGCAAGAATGTTGTGACTAACTGTGTAATAATTCGAGAAAAGATAAAGTGTCAATTCATGTACTCTGTGTAGCTTTAAGTATAAAAATAAAGACTTACAGAGCTGGGCCGGCAGAGGCAGAAGGGAGAGCAGCAAGCTGGACAGCTCGGCAGCACAGCAAGCTGACTGAGAAAGCCTTTCATTCATTTCACCGCTAGCTCCGCGTCTCCTCTCGTGTCCCATGACCCCCGCGGAGAGCTGGTCTCCCCGCAGATGGGTTTGTAGTATATGCCTGGACAGTCTTGAGTATTTTATCTATCCGTATTAGCTCATTCAATTAGCACAGCAGCCCTCTGAAGTAAGTACTTTTGTTGTCCCCATTTTTAGCAGAAATAAGAGACAGAGAGCTTAAGTAAGCATTCAAGGTCACAAAGCAATTGTTGGAGACTGGATTTGAACACAGACTGTAAGACTCCAGAGCCCATGCTTTTAACCACTGTCTTATACTAGGTGTTTTTGGTTGATTAAGTATAACTTATGTGCAATAAAATTTACCAATTTAAAATATTCAGTTTAATGATTTTTAACAAATATATGCATTTGTATAATACTACCAAAGCCATGATGTAGAACATTTACATGACCCCTAAATGCCCCCTGATTTCCCTTTGTTGTTAGTTTCCTCTCTTGGTTACCTCTGATCTGCTTTCTGTTATCATAGTTTTTGCCTTTTCTAGAGTTTCTTGTAAGTGAATTCAATAGTCAGTATCATAACATTTTAAACCAAATAAAGAAATCTGTGAAGAACTTAGCTTTCTTTTCTGCATGATGTTCTCTAAATGCTTAAATCCATTGGGACCCACGAAGAATTAGGGAGAATGGAGGAGGGTGATGAATGACAGGAGGACCTAAGTTAGAAATGCGTAGTATTTGTTTGTGTGCCTGCATATAAGCGTGCATTGCTGAACTTCTGGCCCAGCTTGTGCCCCAGTTTCAGCAAGTCATGTCAGGAATGACAGGGTAAAGACTGAGAGTATGTATTAATTAGCAAGTGAAAATGTTCTGCAGAGAGGACATAAGCATGTATTTGATCATTTTTCTTGAAAGAATACTCCACAAACATTGCTGTGTATATTATTATTTGTTTTATATAGAAATTTGTTTTGTAAGTTACTCAGTGTTTGGCTTAAAGGTAGTACTGGGATTTGCCTTTAATCTGTTTGGCTCCAAAGCCCCTTCACTTTTTATTATTATACTCTTCCTTACCCTCACTAAGTAATCAGAAGAACCAGAAACTAAGCAGAAGAAAGGTAATTGTATGTAGAACCTGGGAAAAGATGACTGCTCTTAATTGTTTGTTTACTTTGATTCTGAGTTTCCATATAGTTAAATTTAGTGTGTGTGTGATGGCCGTAAGTAAAGGACTTGACTTAATAATAGAACACCTACAAGTGAGGCACACTTAACTTTCTATTATGGAAGTTAGTTTGTATTTTCATTTTCACTTCAGTAGAGTTCTGTTCTCCTTCAGGGAGGTGGGTTATCAGTATACCCATGAACAGGGTCTAGCACAAGTGTTACCTTACTTTCCTAAAAATGTGTTAAATCAGCTAAAGTTTACAGATCATAATTTTTTTTGGTTCTACAACTCCTTACAATAGAATATGAAAGAGATACTCTGGGCTTGAACTTTTCAAGGGTATGTGTTACAGTTTGGCTGCCTCAACTATACAGTTCCTGAAGAACAACCATTCTTTGCACGAGATTAAGTAATAGTGTGATTTTAGAAGCTTAACAATGACTGGTGGTGGTGGTGGTTGTATGTCATTAAGAAGTTCTGAATCATATTGACCCTTCGTAGAATTTTGGAGGCTATAAATCTTGATTGGAGTAGAAAGCCTCATCTTTCTCTCTTGGAGTGACTGGTAGATTTGAATCGCTGACCTCAAGGTTAGCAGCCCAGCTCATAATCAACCCACTGTGTTTCCAGGGCTCCTTTAACACTGATTAAGAAGGGACATATTTGTACTTAACTATTTGATGTCTTTCATTTTTGTGTAATGATGGTAACATGAAATACCTTCACTACTTCTGTCTGAGGACTTTTTGATAATATGCAAATAGGGTAACTTTTCAGTTCTCTAAATTCACCCGTTAAGTGTGGTAGAGTCCGTTCCGACTCATAGCAACCTTATATAGAGTTTCTGAGGAGCAGCTGATGGGTTTGAACTGCTGATTTTACATTTAGTAGTTCAGTGCTTATACTCCAATTTCACATCAGGACCTCTAATTCACCCTATTATTGAATAAAAATAGTTTAATAAAAAAAGAAAGAGAATAAAAACTCAAGGACTAGAAAGTCTTGCACTGAAATAACTTGTTTAGCTGAATGGAAAATTGATTTGCTCTGTCTCTGTAAACTCTCACTCAAATCACAGTAAAATAAAACAACCTATTTAAATGATTGTTTCACTGAAAGATAATGAATTCTAAGACGCAGAATTTTTAACAATTAGTGATTATTTTTGACTAAGGTTTTAAAAAAGTCTCTTGGATTACGACCAAAGGAGTCTGTCCAAACAGTTGTAAGGTTTGTCTTGGAAGATTCCCTACTAGTAGCCAGATATCGTGTGACTTGTTGGTAAGTGCCATTGTGCTGATTCTAACTCATAGTGACCCTGTATAGGATTTCCATTGAGCAGCTTGCCATTAGCAGCAGTATAGTGCTCATCGTGCGGCACTGCACCGGCACTCTAGTATAGTGGTTAAGTGCTTGGCTACTAAAGGAAAGGCCAGTGGTTTGAACCCACCAGCCCCTTCACAGGAAGATGTGACAGTCTGCTTCCATGAAGATACAGCCTTGGAAACCCTATGGGGCAGTTCTGCCCTGTTCTTTAGGGCCACTATGAGGCAGAATGTTTTTGGCAGCAATGGGTACAGGTATATATAGTAAGTATTAGAACTCTCAGTTTTGACAGAGAAACTTTAAGTACTTAGAAACAGTAATTTTATTTCTTTTGGTTGTATAGATAATTTTAAATGTAAATATATAGAAAAAGGGTTTCCTTTTTGTTTCAAGTTAATAGAAATATATAGTTTTAAATTTGTGTTAAAAAATAGAGTTTAATTAATCAGCTTAGTTTACTTGACTCAGTCATTTACTTTCTCCAGCAGTGTTCCAGTAGAAAGGTAGCATTCCCCCCTTTTTTCCCTTCCCAGGTCTGCGTAACCACTTTTAGTTTCAAAAAACTTCCACGAAAAAAATCATTCATTCAACTGTTACAGCAGGTGTATATAAATGCGTGATTGTCTTTGATATGCATAATGTATATTAGGTTATCAGTATTTCTAGTGTTATATATTCTTAAGGGGTTTTGTTATTGTTGGTAGGTGCCATTGAATCAATTCTGACTCATAGCAACCCTGTGCACAACAGAACGAAACAGTGTCCCCCGTCCTGCGCAGTCATTGTTAGACTTAAACCATGACTGCTGCCACTGTGCCAATCTGTCTCCTTGAGGGTCTTGACCTTCCATTATAGAAATGCAAAAATAAGTGAAATCATAAAAGCTTATTTTCCCCGCAGGTGCTCGAGTTTGGCTTTTCATTGGTTTCATGTTGATGTTTGGGTCCCTTATTGCTTCCATGTGGATTCTTTTTGGTGCATATGTTACCCAAAGTAAGTACTGACTCTTCCTTTATTTAATAGGAGAACTTTCAGATATGTATTTCATAGTTGGCTTACTCTGTTAATTCCACCTGAAGTAAAATTTAGTTTTATTCAGTTTCCTTGGAGTTGCTAATCCTGTTTAAGTTAGAACAGTTTTGAAGTAAAACAGCTGGCTTGTCTGTGTATTGTGTGTATGTTTATTGAAACAACTGAGATCATGATGTGCAGTTGGGTAGGCCTGGTTAGGATGTCATGCTAAGTAATGACATTGCATCACTTTCTGCCATCTCTAGAATTTTGATTTCCTTCCCATTTATCTGGGAGTTGTGTACTAAAAGTGAGAAACCAATACAAGTCCACAGAATCTGACCTCAACTACACCTGGCTAATTATGATCTTTATTCCCTTTAGTGTTCAGTATTCAGATCTTTCATTGCAGGAATGTTGATGTGTTTAGTTATGAGACGCTGATCCAGATCCAGCTTGGGGTTCTATGTAGTATGCTTACTTTGTCTTACTATTCTTAAGTATTCCTTTGTGTGGAGCTGTAGGATAAACACCAGATCGCAGGTTGGTTTGAGCTGCAAGGTCAGCGCTTCAAACTCACCACTACTCTTTGGGAACCCTATATAGGGTTGCTATGAGATGGAACCAACTCAATGGCACTTAACAACAACACTATCCTGAAATCTGAAATATTTTAAAATCCAAAATCCTTATAGGAATTTCAGATAAGGGGTTATGGAGCTGGATATTTTTCTTTCCACCCACGTACCTCCAATCTCTAACCCCCAACTTCCAAGGAAGTTTTTCTAGGGCAGGATTGAAGGTATGTGGGTACCGAAAGAATTGATGTAGTGGAATGAGCACTTACGACACCACTCTGAGTTTCCAGCTGTTCCCAGGCACACTTGTTTTTCTCTCAGGGTAGTGTGGGAAAGCAGAACCTAGTCTTACTAGATGGTTCTGAAAGCATCAGAATACCCTGACTTTTTGGCTGTCTCCTGTCATGCCAGAAACGAGAGTTATTAGTTTCAGGTCATATGGTTTTCTCATCCTCTGATTCCTCCCCTCTGGGATCTCTTTTCAGCCTTCTTTGTGTATTTATCACATCTCCTTGTCTTGACCTGCAGCTAACTTTTAAATGCTTTGGACAGGAATCCCATAATCTCATAGGTTGATAAGGGTATTCCTTTGACTTTCACTTGGCATAAAAGAAGTCATCAGTGTACAAGAGGATAGTGGTTAGTTAATTAATATACAACCAAATATTTTGAAAATATGTTATTTTTATTAATTAAAAATACCAATAAAGTATACAGGTCTAGAATTGTTTATGTGAAGGAAAGTTCTTTTTTAAATATAATTTGCATATCAAGTAATTCACCCAAAGTAAATGTATGATTCAGTAGATTTTGGTATATCTAGAGCTGTGCAACCATCACCAAAACTTGATTTTAAAACATTTTCATCACCTTTAAAAGAAACCTCGTCTGTACCCATTAGCAGTCAACCGTTTCTCCGACCCCTGAGCTGTCGGCAACCTGTAATCTACTTTCTGTCTGTATATAGATTTGCCATATTTCATGTAAATGAAATCATACAGGAAAGGATACTTAAACTCTTTTTATCACTGACCATAAATGGGTTGTTGCTAAGTATCATCAAGTCAGTGCTGATTCATAGTGACCCTGTATAGGGTCTCAAGGGGTGATTGGTGGGTTTGAACCACTGACCTTGCAGTTAGCAGTCCAGTGCTTATCCTATAGTGCCATACCAGGGTTCCATAAGATGGGTGGTGGTGGTTATGTGCCATGGAGTAGGCTTTGATTCATACTGACCCTGCATAGATTTCCGAGGCTGTAAATCTTTATGGGAGCAGAAAGCCTCATCTTTCTCCAGTGGAACAGCTGGTAGTTTCGAACTGCTGACCTTGCTGTTCGCAGCCCAATTCAAAACCACTACACTACCAGAGTTCGTAGGCTGTTATTAATGATTTTCTCAGAAGGTCTTGTAATTACTTGAAGTGGCAGGTGAAACTTTATCGTAATCTTTTAAAATAGTACATATTGAAAAGTTTCTCCATTATAGAGCTCATCTTCCTATTTCTACAGCATTGCTCATTATATATATACTATGTAAAGTGATTATGCCTTTTCTTCAGAGGGCATTTCTAACATGCTTTAAATCCTTTACTATAGATTTTTTTGGAAATGCTAATAATAATAATAGTAGTTAACATTATGTAGCACTTACTGGACCAGGTACTGTTTTAACCACAATAGTCACTTATTAAATGGTCACACCTGGTGGGGTGAGTATTGTTAATAATGCCCATTGTGTAGATGAGGAAAATAAGGTATAGTGAAGTTAAGTAATTTTCTCAAGATCATACATTTTTTCAATGATAGAGTTATGATTAAAACCCAAGGGGTCTGACTTTGGTTGGAGGTCTTTCTTAACCACTCTGCTAATATTGTTTGCTCTTACAGCAAAAGCTAAAAGTTAAACCAGTTTCTTTATCCAACACAGTATTTTTTTTGTCAACATACTTGATTTTACAAAAAATTTAAATAGTTTCCAATTTTCTTCTTTTCTTTTGTTATGAAGATACTAACCACTCCCATCAGGATAGATTCCATGAAAAGGATTTTATAATGATCCTTTTTACATCTGTCAGATTCACAGATATAAAATTGAATTACTGAAGAAAATAACAGTTTTAAATAATCAAGAATTGAATTTGTATTTTTTGAACATCTGTGTTTCTGTATTGGCTGTAGGGAAGCAAAGGGAGAAGGCAGTATTTCTGCTGCTGCTTCCTCTGGGTTGTAGAACCATAGCAGTTATTTTAAATAAACAAAAAACCCAATAAGTTAGTTGTCTTTTATTCAGATTGAAAGCAACCATTTTTTTGGACTGCAAATTAACTTGGTACTCATGAAACCTATGTAAAATTTCAAAATTCCTAGGATAGTGTTTTGAGAATTGAAAGAATTCATTTGAAAAGTACATTTTAATTAACATAAATTAACGGACAGTATCCTTTTCTTTTTCCTAGAACATTTTTATTCTTTTAGAAGAATAAGATTAGGACTTTCTTATTTTGGATTCGTTATATATTCCTTATGTTGTTAAGTGCCGTGGAGTCGGTTCCGACTCATAGCGATCCTGCAAAGGGTTTCCGAGATTGTAAATCTTTACGGGAGCAGAATGCCTCATCTTCCTCCCGCGGAATCGGTAGTTTCGAACTGCTGACCTTGCAGTTCACAGCCTGATTCGTAACCACGCTACCAGAGCTCCTTATAGTTAATGACTAATACCAATATTTTGTAATATACCAAACCCAAATTAAAACCAATGCCATCAAGTAAATTTCAACTTATAGCAACCCTGTAGGACATTATAGAACTGCCCTATACGGTTTCCAAGGCTGAAGATCTTTACAGAAGCAGATTCCAGTATCTTTCTCCTGATGAATTCAGACAGCTGACTTTTTGGTTATCAAACAAGGCTTGGTTATCACCAGTCTTCTTTTGGAATATAGACAGCTTGGCATTATGAATTGCCCAAGTACTTTGTTATTGCTGTTTTGTAATCTAATCTGTTTTACTTTTGTGTGTGTATGCAGATACAGATGTTTATCCAGGACTGGCTGTGTTTTTTCAAAATGCACTTATATTTTTTAGGTAAGTTGATTCGTTTCTCAATGATGCCTGTGTTACATTTACAGATATGTCATCTTTAGAAGACTACATATACAAAGAGCACTTAAGAAATCACTGGGATTGGTTAGAATGGATAGAATATATA